GGCAAAAACAAAAGTGTTGCGTTTATAATTTTGTTCAGTATAGTTCACTAATAAATTAATTTCATTTGTTTAACACAGTTCTTAATATACTGTAGCTTTGGTTAAATGGTTAGCTTTATTGTTAAGCTTTTGTTTTTATATTTTAAATGTAATATTTGAATACAAATGCACAGTATTTAGAAGGGTTTAACCTATTAAAACAAGCCATATTCATGTTATGTTATATAATAATCTTATGTTACATTATAATTTATGTAAAATCTAACAGTTCTGACTGCTAAAAATGTGGGATTTGTGCATCTAATGCTTTTAAAAAGTAATGAGACAGTGTACTCCATTAATGGAAATGGGCAAATATTCTCAAACAATCCCCATTCCACACACACACACACAAACAGTACATTGCACATACATCCAAAAAAGCCCATCTAGCCCCTAACATTCATTGTAATCCAACCACAATTACACTTTGCACACCATTGACCTACTTGGCTCATGTCATTCCTATAATAGCTCTAAACCACTTGGCAATTATTGCTTTTGGGATGGCAACACAGGGCCTAGAGCATTCCCAATTCAGCTAGGCTGCTCCATTAGACAGGAGCAGGTCCTGTACCCAAACTCACCTACACTGGTGATCTTCTGGGAGACCAGGTCTTTCAGCAGGGCGCCGATGACGGGGTTGTGTCTGGAGTAGAGCTCGTGTCGGTTAATCCCGATGTGGAAGCGGAGCCAGTTGGGATATGACTCAGCAGTGGCCTCCCCTGTAGGACTGTACTCCTCCTCCTCCACGTTCCCCTCGTTATGCCTGCCGGTAAAGGATGGTGGAGGACATTAGTCACTACCAACACACATGCTGTCTGACAATACGAAAAATACATTTGAATTTATTTTTAAACATACAATAACTTTTTAACATTTGAGAAATTCAAATGAGGGAAAAACATCAAACTTTGTAAGTGTTATTGAAGAAATCTTGATATATTTATATTACTACAGCAGTATAATATTGCAGTGTAAGTGTCTATATAATTACTAGACCCAGATCGATTCTGTATACATTTTCCACTGATTTGCTTGGGAAATCAGTTCAGTGGATTTCAACATGATAAAACAAAGCTGAAAATACTTAATTTTCATTTCTCACTAAAAGCAAAACTGAATTAGCTAAAAGAAGTACACATCAGCTTTCAAACAGAGCACTTATTATGGAAATAGTATACTTTGAATGTCATTTCCATTGAAACTCTGTATTTATACTATACTTACACATTTGTTATGATGAAGTTGTCTTTCATATATTTAAAATATCAAGTAAAAATCAAGTATTTTAAAACTGCTTTAACATATGAATCAGCTTCATTTGAGTTAAAATTACTCTGCATTTATCTGAAGAGCAGTCTTTTTATGTTTCATTTAAATTGTTTGATGCTTTATTTTTTTATTGAAATGATATTAAAAATGAGCATGTTTGAATGTGACTGATGCCATGCACAGATAATACTGTGATGACAGTGGAATGACTGAATACATCAGATGTACTTTATTTCCCTGAGGCCCCTGACCTCACAACAACAAATCAGTCTATTAAAACATTGTGTCCCATCAAAACATGAAAAGGAATATTATACAGTAATGTGACAGCATCTGGATGACAAGCTTGTCACATGCATTTTTAGTGATTAACAAAACACTGTTAAATCGGCCTTTTAACTCAACTATTCATGTTCAGTTCATCTGGATCTGGATCCGGATCAGTCAGGCATGGTTAAAAAGCATGTTTAGTTAATTCAGGCATGGTTATAGGCAGTGAGAATAAGCTATCCCTGAAGGACGTGAGAGCTTGCCGTGTGAAGAACAAAAAGAGAGGACACAGGAGGAAACAAAGGGCATGACACCAACAAAACCCCCTTCAGCTTAATGCATCTGACAGCTCTGAAGAAAACAACACATCACACCAGAGGAACATAGATGAGTCCTAGCAGCAAAGCTTTTAACATTCACAATGAGTCAGTATGAACTGGAAATTATAAAAAGCACCCAAGCCACAGTATCATTTCTTTCCACAACATTTGCGCTCTTATTTTTACCACTAGATTTAAAAACACATGTACTTCTCTCCCAAATTATTGCTTTTAATCTATATTTCCACTGAGAATCTGACTTTATTATGATTATTACTTACTCAGAATGAGAAAATTATGACCCCTGGGTGTGATGTGAGAAACATTTCTTCTTAGCTGAAAGTTGTTTGTGAAGCTCTTAATTTCCCTGGTGATTTAGGATAAACACATTTTCAACACTCTTCTCAGTTTCTGTATATACACATACAGTAGGTTTTTGACTATACAACTATACTGGGGCATGTTGTCACTATGGGTGACAACACAAATATATCTACTATCTAAAGTGAAAAAGTATTTCTCCACAGGATATCTCTATTTAGAGTATTTAACATACTTTTCAGCTAAATTTAAACAAGAAACCACAAAATACGAAACAATTCATGAAACAACACAAATTATCCCAATTATCTTAATATGACATTTGGTTAATACCAACACAATTTTTTTTTTTAAGTAAAACACTGCAAGATAAAACTTGCATTTTGTCTAACTGGATTTTTGACTATAAATCGTATAGTTGTGACAACTTAACTAGAACCAGTCTCCATTCATATTTTAATTATACAAATAACTGGGATATAAAAATCATTTCATATGCATACAAATATGTATTCATGCCATTCTTCTTTTCCAGCTGCTTTGGGATAAAATATGAGCAATCACCTTTAATGCTTTTCTTTATATTATCTCTTTAGAAGGAAGACTGGGGCAAGTTGTCACATTTTTTAAAATCCTGTGAATATTTCTCAGCACAGGTTCATTTTCATATACCAGACATACCTGGTTTTGTCAACAAACAAAACATTGTGAATCATTTAGCAAGGCATGCTGTCAATAGAATATGTGGTTGTCACAATTAAACCTTCTGTTTATTAACACTGATTTAAGAAAGCGTATCTTTGTTTGAAATATGAAATCTTCTCCAGCACCCGGTTTCTTTTAATTATGCACATAACCGGGACTTCAAGGCTCATTTTATACATATAACAGCATGTGTTTCACGCCAGGTTTAAAGAAGCACTTGCCATTCTTGTTGTCCGGCAGCTTTGGGGTAGAATCTGATATCATTGTTGAGGTTGAACAAGGTGTCATCTTCAGAGAGATGAGGCAGGTCGGTCTTATAGAGGGGATGCTCATAGAGCGCCTTCAGTCTGGAGGAACTATGGACAGCTCTCTGCTTCTGTCCGCTCACCGTATCTCTCATCAAAACCCTCTTCTCCGAGCCCAGCTGCAGCTGTCTCACTCTCTTTTCAGACTCGGCTCTCTCTGTCACCTTCTCCCGCGAGTGCG